TCTGGCGTCCCAAACGGCCTCCACGGCACCCAAAACGACACCCCGAAACCGCATCGAGACAGACAAATTGTCACCCCCGTTTTCGAGGCCTGAAAGGAGACCTCCCGAAAACCCTCCTGCCGTGGGGTCTGGCCCGCGAAACATGGCCAAACTTGACCACTTTTGGGCTTTCCTAACCCCCGCACCCCCTTAGTACAGATCAGCAAAGCTGGACTTGGACGAAAGCTTGAGGAAGCTTTCGTAATTAGTGAGGGAGTTTAATTAATCCACTGATGAGGAGCTAGCTTGTCATGATCACAAGATGCAGCCTTGCAAACTCGAGGCGACTTAATACAACTCTTGCCTTTCATCGGCCGAGGCACTCTTCAAGCTGCTATCCGGCCAGTATGGAGACACCGGATGTGGCCATAGCTTGATGTCGACCTTGTTTTCATGCTGTTCATGCGAATGACTGCTCATGCACACATGAAACCAGCTTTCTACGGGCACATGCACCGACTCGTTTGCACCAAGATTCGGGTTGAAATATGTTATCGCCGCGAATCTGGCAGGTGAATGGAAAGGTGTCCTGACTGCCAGACCCCTCTGGCTTCCATTCTGTTTTGTCTCCCTTGCACAAGTTAACAACTTGCTCATGGACTTCTGAAAATGTTCAAGGGGAATTCTGCTGACGTACTTACAGCCGCTACGCAACGGCAAGTGTCCACCAAATAGTTGTCAGGGACCACGTCAACAGCAGTCTTGTTGATGCAGCAGGTGAATGTGCCATTCCTCATCCACCAGGTTTGTTACTGCGCTTCTGCAAGAAGGAATCAGGGGTGAGGATGAAAGAGACCAGACGCAATCCAGCACTCGACACGCAACTGAAGCTTGCAGTGCAGCCGGGCAACAGTTGTGTATGGAAACCTTGGCACCGGCAGATATGGGTTGCTGGGCTTTAACCCTGGCTCTGCACTCGACAGCATCATTGAGTGTCGAAGAAGCAGTCGTGCCAAATTTACTGGCGCAAGCTTCCATGGACTTTGGCTTTTGAGGGCCGACGTCTGGTCTCTATGCAGGCGTGTTGTAATCTTTCCAACTGCGCGATTCACGCTCTGCACGCACCCATTTGACCTCCAAGCAGCAAGAGGAGCCCGGATCCGTGCAGGTCACTGGCTCAAGCAGTGTTGGATCACCAGCAAACTGTCCAGACATGAGGTGGTTTTCCATGGCCTTAGCACAGAGAAAAAGAATCCTTCCCCTTCCTCAGGCCTGAAATTACAAAATCAACACACAGGAAGACAAGCTACGTCCCTGAGAGTGATGTTCCAGCAGGAAAGCACGCCGGCAGTAAGCTCGCTCGGAAAGCCTTCCACAAGCCTGAGTTCGAGTAGGCCAGGCCAGGATTGTCGCAGCTCTCTCAGAAAGCACAGTCCATTTTGGATGTACGTTGCAGACGAATCCCCGTACTGTGGTTCAAGTGCCAGTGCCCCAGACATCCCTAAATTGTCACACGCTTGCACATTTTACAGCACATTGACAGCAAGCTGCGCTTCTGAGTTGAATCGAAAACTTCTGGTTGAAACTTACAGAGCGAGCCACGAGTTTGTGATTACCATCGGTCCAGGAGTGACGAGGAAATCGAACCTTGGCTCTTTTGTCTGATGCATACAATCTGTTGGATTGAAAAGTTAAGAAGCTTTTGGGACAAGACACGGAGAGCCCACAATGTCCTCCCCAGCTACACGGATCTCCAAGAGAGTATGTCCCGCAGCCAAAGGCACAAGGGCACCACGGTAGCGACCTGCTGGAAAGTTGCTTGAGGCCAAAACCCAAGTAAATAATCTTACTACATCCTGCTGGTAGCAGTCCCCAAGGCAAATTTGCATACAAACTGGTCAAACCACTCCGGCCGTGGCACCTTGAACCAAGTGCAGGAACGGCAAGGTCACCGGACGGTCTCCTCGAAGTTGCGCCACGACCACATCCTGAGACTGACAGCGTAGCGAAGGTCAGGAACAAGAATACAGACTGCTTCTTGAATATGTCATGCTCTCTTGGGAACTTGGGTTAGCAAGTCCGAGCAACGCCATTGTTGATCTCAATGGCGTTACCAAACCGGTCCCGGGTCTGTATCGATACCTCTGGCAACAGGCTTGTCTTCAGCCGGGATGTGGCGTATTCCCCGGCACCCAAGATACACTTGGATCTGACACGATCTGAAAGAGCAGTTCCTTCACAAGTTCCGCCTCGTTGGCGATGTTGGCAACAGCGGTGACGAACCCGCCCACGACCGAGGACATGAAGGAGGGCCTGGTGACGGGCAGGCTGAAAGTTCCGACAACCGCAGTTCACATGAGCCATGCCAAAGGCTTCCAGTTGCTGGCCAGGTGGCACTGATGGGAATCCGAGCACATAGGTGGCTTCACCGGCAGGGCGCCCTGGTTGAGTTGCAAAGCTAGAGGATTGCATGAGTCGAGCCAAATCCAATCCTATCCAATCCAAACCGCTTAGACGGATTGCAGCCAACGGGTAGAGACATCAGAAACGCGCAAACGTTCAACCCATCCAGCCTTGGGCCACAACGTTGTTAGCCAAGACGATGGCTGGCTGTGAGCCGACTGCAGGGGCAAACACGCCAGACCGCGGAATTGGAAGAGCAGAGAAACTATGTATAGACTGCGGGAAAAACCCTAAGATGGGAAGGGAAGCTACCAGCAGCATCGATGACCGTGTGTGAAGGCGCCTTTGACCATTTCAATGATCAGTTGGTAGTAGCCGGCTCTGTACAAAGTGATGTCGAAGTGATACCTGCGGCCAGCCACAGCAAGAAATAACATGCCTAAGAATCGTCCAGGGTCCAAGAGTCTGTCCCGCTGTCACATCTGTTTGCTTGGAGCTGGCGCAGGTAGACTTTGTCAGCAAATTGGGTGGTTACCATGTTCTGAACCTCCACTGTTGGCACAGGCGCCTGGCATCTGCCGCCAGATAACTACCCATGACAGTGTGGTTGAAGTTGTCACTCAGATTGCCACCTGGTGAGTCAGTTCACATGTCCAGCCGCAAAGCACGAACCCGGCCCAAGCTTGTCTGTGGCAGAGCTCTAAAGCTGCAAACGCTGGAGAGGGACCGTTGTTGTTGCAATGCGCAAGTTGCCCTAGATTTGTAATTGCAAGTCTCACGCTAGACTGCATCTTGAAGATTCTAGAGGCGGTGCCGCCCTGCTCCTTGCAACCTGAAATTCAGAATCATACGATTCATCACAACGATATCATCTTCAGCTAAGCTCGCCACGAAACCAGCCATCTGGTGGCTCATTGCCATCAGGATTCTTAGCCATCAAACATTGAATTTTGAGAAAGTCCCTACAACAAATGGTCTGTCAACCATGAAAATTCAGACAGGTTCGTGCTGGAAAGCATGTGCGCCACTCATAGAAGTGAATGATTGCTGATGGGGCGCGGCCACAAAGTTGAAGAACGAGGTCAACTTCAGCTCGTGGTTTCTGTTGAGGTTGCCATAGACGTCACGCCCCGTGCAGGTGAAGTGGTATTGCCTGCCTGCCTGGAAACGCGAAGGTTCGCTCAGCATGTCCTGGCCTAGGCACCTTCGGTGTTACCATTCTTACATCATCCATGAGAGTAAAGCTGTCGTAATAGAAGGGATTGCTAAGCGGGCGCCTCCATGGCGTAGGGAGTTTGGCAAGTCATACCATTCTCCGAGACCTCTGATTCCTTCCACCCTCAGCTGGCACATTTGCTCTCACAGCTTCAGGAGAATGCTTGGGCAAGCCACAAAGCAGTGTTGTTGGCGAGCCCGAGATGTCTTCGCAGGGATCCCGAATCGGTACCTCACTGCTGCAATACATGCAAAAATCATTTCTGATTGAATATTTGGATTGGACTCCAACTCCCTCCTGGCCTGGATGCAACCAACCCCAATTCGCACGCGAAGGTTGTGGTATCCTGCGAGGAAGGTCAGCACCTGCAGAGAGGACATGTCCAAGTGTCATTAACGCCTCGTGCTGCCGGGGGATTTCGTAAACTAAAGAACACAAGAGCGAGAGATCGAGAGAGGGAGAGAGAGTGGAGGGGGTCCTGCTGAAACAACCCGGGACAGTAAGCCTGCCCACGGTAAACAAAGCTGTCTGCTTCACAGCATGTTCTCAACAAATGCTCAGGTTACCATCTGCGCTGGATTCGCCGAAGAACTGTCACTTCGATTGTGCCGTTGTCATAGACGGTTGTATCCAGCTGCCTGTCTCCAAGCCTTATGCAGGTGATCGATCAAATGAGGAAGTGGTTTTGGTTGATGGTCAGCTTAGCAATCAACTTCTCAAATGAGTCAAAACTTCTCAGCATAAGCATCTGCGCACGCAGCCATTCAAAGTGCCATGTCAGTCCGCCTGTAACAAAACATGACCAAACCATCATTTGCCAAGAAGCGAGGCCACAATGCCGTTGCGACGCTGGGTAAAATCTGAGCCTGTAACGATGCCTCAGACAGTCCAAGTTGTAGACTAAGTAACTCGATCTCAAGTATGGACATGGAGCATGATGGAGCATGGAGGACCATCTGACAGCCTGCCATGATTGGCCCCCTCCAAGTTGACTGCTCAAGAGCCTGCTGCCTTGACCCATGCTCCTGTCCAACTATTCACATGCGCTTTCTGGTATCCTCCCTGGCATCTGGCCCAGCACGGCATTATTCGGACAGCTTCGCAGGTTCAAAGTTGAACAAGGAACGTCAAAGAGTGTATACAGATGCGAGGGGACTGCGCGCATTGGAAGTTGTGGCTATGCCTAAGTCCTGGTGGGGCATTTGCAGCAAATGGCCTACCCTACTCTAATCGCTTCAGCGTACACTGAACTCTGCAAGCCTGCAAAGAACTGGGTCTGCGGCGGTTGTTTCCATATTGGTCCTTCAACTGGACCAGAATGGGCACCGGCGTACCAACTACATTACCTCGTTTCATGCAGTCTCTGCAGAATTCGGTCGAAGCAATCATGCTAGACACAACATAGCCATTTCAGATCAAGTTGCCCTCAAGAAGGCGCCCTGGACCCTCCATGGTAGACGTGGTGGCGTTGATGTCCTGAGGCCGTACAAGTGCAGCATTACTGGCATGAGCTCGGAGACAGGAGAGCATGAGGCCAACATTTCCTTCATGGACGGCACAGACATGTGCAAAGGCAAGCACGCACCTTTTTAGTGCTACTGCGTGTCATCAGCGTTCTGCTAAACATACCCCTTGCCAAGCATCTCCAATGTTCATCAAGATCGATGTGGGTCCCGGGATGTAACTGCCCTGCGAGACAAAAGCGAGCATGTGTGCGCAGCATGCAGCGAAAGTGGCTTTTGCGAGGACTCAAGTAGAAGCAAACGACGAGTAGCACAAATGACAACATGCAGTAAGGTTGATAACACCGTCTAAATCGAGCAGCGCGTTTGCATTAAACATCCATCCATGTCCGTGTGACGGTTAGTAATCAACGAATAACAAAAATCCCAGCCACCTGCGCCTGAATGATCTATGAATCGTATCCACCCCTCAAGCATTCCAAATTCCAAAGAGCAGCAACTTCTATTCAATCGACGTACTTCCCAAATCCATGCGCTCCGTCTTGTGCCGAGGCACACCCTCCAAGCTGTAGACACCCAAGTCTTCCTGGCACCATGGCTGCAAGTTGTAGTCTCTGCGGTAATCAGATTCCATGGGGGAAGTCACTGTCCCGCTGCTTTGTCAATTGTCATTTTGATCCGACCCACACAGGGTACAATACATAACAATATCCAGCGTGGCTACTTAGAAAAGGCCTGGCTGCAAGCAGGTGCTCTGCTCGTGTTGGACTTGTTCAACCTCTATCCCAAGACTGCAGATAAGCCGTGGCTACTGGGCCTCACTGCTCACTGCCTAGGATGTTCCGTTTAAGCTCGCCAGGAGCACTGCCCAAAGCGCGTAGGAGGCATCCTGGCCGTTGATCAGAAGCCTTCCAGTCACCGTCAGCTTGGCTGGATCAGAGATTCTGCATTCTTGGGTCTGTCTGCCCTTGCACTGCTGAATTAGCTGAAGCTGGCAACTGATTCCGGCAGGACTTCACTGACCGGGGATGTAAGGCAATTCAAAGAGAGATGCTGGCAAATTGTCAGATCAAAGAGCAGTTTGCTTGACAGTGGTCGGATCTAAACTGTGCGGATGCAGTCGTAATTCCTTGCTGCGAGGAGCGCATGCCAGCTTTAAATGATTCTAAATGACTTCTGGCGCTTCGCTGAAATGTCATTTCTCTCTGGCTGCATATGACATTGTCATTGATGACCTTGTGAACAAAAATATCTAAGGGGTTGCATCCATCCCGCCTGAGCACGAAGTTGCCACCTTGGCTGGGCTGTTCTGGTGTCAAAGCAAGGCAGGCATACAGTAGCTTTAACGTGTCAGCCAGCCAGATGAAGGCCTAGCAAACTACGAGAAGTTGCTGCCGGGCTGCCAATGGTTGGTATAAGCTCACAGGCCTCGGATTCAACTGGCTGTGAGCTGCATTTTTAGCTGGGCTTGCCAAAGCTGCCTGCCCCTTGTGCCTGGTCCTCATGTACCGAGCTTATGACTCATGACATGCTATACAGCCCAGCTGCATGCATCTCGCCAAAGAGTTGAAAGCAATGCCCCTGCCAACACATATCACAAGCACTGCTATCCGAAACCACGCAATCTTCATGCAACAGACGCAACGCCCTGGAGAGTCATCTAGACAAGCCTTGCCTCATCGACTGGTACGCACCAGGGATGCTCTGGAATTGATGGGTCGCACTGCGTGTCGACAGTATGGTATTGCCTTGTAGGAGTAGCCCGCAGTATCAAATAGTCACTCACCACACTGGCGCTCTTCGTTTATGCTCTCTCCTGAATCTACAACCTGACATCTTTTCGAACAACCTTAGGCTTTGCAAGCACCGATACTGACCAAAACAGTTGCTTGAACAATCTGCTGCAGAGATGCAACTGGCTATGATAATCATCAAGCATGCGGTTGCCATAGGTGTCGCGCAAGTGGAACCTCAGTGCATGTGCTCACAGGCAGGAGGCTAATCTCAAACCCTATCACTAGGTTCTATCTAAAATCGAGGTGACCTTGTCCTTTCTTGTAACCTTACAGTACTGTAATAAGCGCAGATTGTGTGGGCCGCTTTGGATGACCGACGACAGACTTGTCACCACAGCATCACCCTAGCGCCCAATTTGGATGAGCCGCACAACGCCACAAGTCACGCCGGTGGTGCACTCCGCTGGAAGCCTGATGGCGCGATGTTGAAACCCTCTGCCGAACCTCCCTTCAGAGGCGGATGCCTCAGCTTCCTGGAAACTTGAAGCTGTGTCAAGAAAGATAAGCGGGCCTTGCGGGGGCGAAGATGGTCATCAAGCCGTTGGCCCGTGCATTCCAGTAGCCAGTGACTTGCAACGGCCTGGAAGGTCAATAAGGGCATCATGGTCATGCTTCTTGTGAGAATAACTCATGCGAAGAAGGCCTCAGCACTCATCCATGCCACAAAAACCAGCACGCAACACAGGGGTCGTGCCTGTTCTGACCTTGAACTGGCGGATCGTAGATGATCTGGCCGCGGCTGAGGTGTTGTCAAGTTGGAGGTTGGTACTTGGTACCGGCGAGATCCGGCCAAGTGTTAGACTGCCAGACGATGAGGACTCCGCAATGATGAGAAACTGCCACTTAGGTGCTGAACCCCATGAACCCGATTGATGCCTGCTCCTCGTGGCCCCTGATGAGGAGACCATTGACCTCCCACAGCAAAGCTTGGTTGTGAGGAGCACATCTCCAAACAAGCCGAAACACGACCAGCTTGTGGACCTGATGCTCAACCTGTGTGTTCCGTTGCGTTGAGCCACTGAGAGTGCTGTGACATGCTTTGACCCCAGGCTGACAATTCGGTCATGAATCCCTTTTCAGACCCAAGATGCTCTTGAACAAAATGTTCCAGCAAGTCTCGCCCGCTCCTTGACAGTCAGCAAGTTGACGCCGGCTCTTAGACCGGTGTAAGAGATCAGGTAACTCCCGAAGTCGAGCTTCCTGCAGCACATGCTCATGACAAGGGACCCTCAGAGGGACAAGGACAACAGTACAGTAAAAGGCATTGACCCTAATCTGCCGAGGCCTTAGGCCTGGGGCGCTTAGATCCAGGTCCGGAGACTCGCCCTCCCAGTGGGGGGTTCCAATCGGCTCCGTTTTTTCGGGTTTTCACAGTCGGCTGGGTTTCGCAGGGGGCTGAAATGCTACCCTGAAGACTCGGGGTGGAAAGGGGCGGAACCATCTCTCGCCCTTACCACACTTGCCGAGGCGGTCTCGCGTTAGTGGAAGCGGGAGTGGAGCTCTTCACAGCGAGGGCGGAGTGCTGTTTGGAATTCGTCCGCTCCCGGAAGAGCAATTTACTTGGGCCATTCATTTTTTTCCAGGCTGCACTCCTTGCTTCATTGTACACTTCCATCTCCAGATTCAGATGGCAAGCTCAGCATACTTCATGTCGTTTGACTCTTGAAAAGTCACACCACAATCACTGACGGCAGTAATGGCAAAGTGCTTTAAGTCCTGCAATTTGAGCAACACCATTGTTGATCACAATAGTAGTAGTAGTAGTAGTAGTAGTAGACAGGAAAGAGTACAACCGACCCGATACTTAGAGTAACAACTTCTACGACAGGTGACAGACACGGTCGAAAAGCTAAAAGGCACTGCGACCATAAGAGCAGCCAGCAACAGCAGCAGCTGAAGTTGAGAACAAGCATGGGTGCACAAGCAGGCTCAACGAGGGCTGGGGTTACTGCAATGGAATCAGCGCTGCGGGAGTTAAAGCATGCGGAGTCTGGCTTTCTATGGAGTAGCAGATCCGCAAATTTCATTTTTTGTTTGCAGCGCTTTGGCTTGGCTTGCTCCACTTCTTTCATTTGGATCGGGGTGGGAGGTCACACAGGAACAGCGCTAGAAATGCAAATAAAGCAAGTTGAGACCCTGGCGTGATCGACGTTGCTGTGGTGTAGTGGCCTCATCAGCCGCTTCGGAAACGTGATTGAGAAACTTGGTCGAATCAACTTGCTGGAATCCCTTCAGATCCCGAAAGTCGCAAACATTTATTCCACATGAAAGTTGCCTGCATAGCAAGAGAACCGGCCTCCTGTCAAATTGCGCAAACGGCGGTCATCGAGGGTTGCATTCGCGTCAATCTCCTAGCAAAGGTCCAGAGACGGCGATTGCTGTCATGATGCTGCTTGTTTGTAGTCAACGCCAATCTGCTGTCAACGGTTAAGAGGTGGTAGCGGCAGTCGCCGCTGCTCTAGCAGGAGAGATGGGGAGAGGGAGGGAGAGAGCTGAGACCGAGACCCGTGAGAATGAGTGGCAACTTTGCCTGTCTAATGAATTTGCTCACAGTTTCAACAGGTTTTGAGAACAGCATGGAAACAATGAGATGCGTCTCATCAAGTGAAACCCTGTCCTCGACAAACTCCAAGTCCACATGCACCTACTGACAGAGAGCACAAATGCCTCCAATGCCTCCACTTGCTGAGCTTCGAAAACCTGACACTAAGCCTGGAGTGGTTGCAGCACAGGCACTGTGACGCCATCAACATGCGGAACCCGGTTACCGAATGCATCTCGAAGCTGCAGTGTGAAGTTCGTCTCCACCTGAGGCAAACAGAAAGGATGTAAAAGGCTAGCTCGGCAATAACTAAAACTAGTTGGTAAACCTTCTGGGCTCACGGCTCCCGCAGTGAACTCCACGGAACCGGGCCCCACCTTGGCAGTCAGGACAAGGACAGGCTTCCTCCATCGCCAGCCATGCGCAGACATCCAGTTGAGGAGACATCACATGTGCGGCACTCGCAGAACTCCAGGGTTCGAGCGACTGTGCACATTTGTGGAAGGACATCGTCCTCCCGGCACGGATAATAGATCCAGTCGTGCCACATGTCTTCTCGTTTCGTGTGCTTTCGCTTGCGGCAGTTTGTGTCTGGAGACTGCAGCAAAGACAACTCCGAGCAAAGGCCACGGTTCTCAACCTGCAGTACTGGTCTGCTTGAAACGCTTGAAATTTTAACTTTGAAGCTTGATGGTGTCCTGCACAGCCACGAAGCGGATGGGACTGGATGCCTCAATCATGGCAAGGATTGCTCCAGATTGCTCAAGAAAGCCTAAGCGTACTGAAGCTTTGTCTTCCTAAGCCCTTGGGCGCCAGGCCAGCTGTCCATGACCCTTCAGAGATAACTCCAAGGTGTAATTACCAGGCTCGAGGAGCACGACATCCTGGCAAAAGCAATTCCACTGTGAAATATGCATTGATCTGCTGATTTTGTAGGGATCACAGTGCACTCTGAAGGACTGTTTCATTTAGTCGCGTTTGGGTCCCTTATCGTGTTTGGGTCCCTTACTCATGTCATCTCATGTTGAGAGCTAGGTCAGACCCAATGTTTGCATTTATCAGCGTGCCTTTTGGAGTTGGCATGAAAACACCGCGCCCCAGATTCCCGGCCACGGTCGCTCTACCAATGATCTTTGATTGGTGCGCCACGTGCATCAGTGCAAAAGCTTGGCCGTGGGCAGGATGGCTTGTAGAAATCTGGGGTTCAATTCCATCTTCAGCTCTATCTACGTGGGCCACCATCAGCTTTCGGCGTACACGCACGAAAAAACACAATAAAACGCCTTATCCTCTGACATGCCATGTAGAGTGACTCCTATGTTGTTAGCATAATGCACTCAGTCAAGCTGGTGCTATTGCGCGTAAACTAAGCAGGCAGCACAATGAAGTGCAGGTGGTCGTGGATGTGATCCCCGGCAGCTCGTCTTTGCAACATCAGGGGCGTAGACCTCACAGCAAAACTGCCTTCATAGCCCAGGCCTGTCCCAGGCCTGTCTCGAAACATCTCGAGACCTAACACTTGCCATACCACCCCGCCTGAACACCAAAGGCACCGTTGCATTGGTGTAGCTTGGCGGATAGAACAACCTAAGATGCTTTGCCAGGGTTGCTTTTAGAATTCCACGTGCCCAACTCGATTTGTTGGCTGCAGCATGCCGCAGCGTCTTGTTTGAAATTAGCATATGCAACTTGCCAAGTTACGCTTCGAACTGGACATCCGTTGAATTGACTGTGTTGCTGAGCGTGTCGAGCGCCTGCACACACAATATGATCTGTCAGGACACGCTGTGAATGTTGTACTGACTTCTCACGGGGCTATGGATGCCTGTCATTGGAGGCTCCTGAACCCGCGCAGCCCCAGCCCTGTGCCGCTCCATCAACTCAGTCACAGAGATCCCAAGCCCAGAGACAAGCCGTAAAACAACCAAACACGTCTTTCAAATCGAAAAGTGTTGCGCTGACGATACTAGCCTCAAGGTAAAGCCTTTGCGATACCTTAGCTGCACAAGACAGAATTGAAATTCTGGTGCTACGGCGCACCTCAAGCCATGCTCATTTCAAACAACAGTACTAGTATTAGATAGTTTGTGAATGGTTTTGCCGGTTTTAGTTTGGGCAATGGTTGGCCCTCAGGATCTTAAGCCGAACGACCCCAGTGCGCAGGTGATGAAGAGGCTCCAGGAGGCCGCTGGTCAGGACACCTCGGGTACTGTCAGCGCCTGCGCATGTCAACCTGACTGCTAAGAGTGTCCAGAGTGTCCTTGGGCGCGGGCTTGGCGGCCCAGGATGCACCACAATTCGAAAGGGCCTGGGGCAGTCTCGTTTGCTGATACTTCTGCCATTTGGAATCTATCATACCCAAGTCATACCCAAGTGCCGAACGCAGTTTCCAGTGGGGCGCCTCGCCAAAGGTTCGCACCTGGAATTATCCTCAGGCACGTCAGCAAGACTGACAATGACACCGGTGGCTCCTCTCCTAAACCTTCTTCGGGGCTCAAGTTTTCCTCACCAAGTCCAAGACTGCTTCCGTTTGCCCGTGATGCCTGGTGGGTCAAACAAGGGCTAGAAATCTACAGCCACTGCAAGGTGCCTGTGTCTGGAGTTGTCTCGCTCAAGAACGACCAGGTCCCCAACCCCACATCAGCCGCAACTGAGCGTTGCCCTGCATCTCCTTCCACTCAACCTTGAAGCTCCAGCGCATTGCGCAAGTGACTGCGTTTCTTTTTTCGACGCACTGCAGCGCAGGTCTCGTTTGCGGCCTGCCTTGATGGAGTAGAACTTGTCTTTCTCAATCAGTTGTCGTGTCCACAGCTCAGGACCTCAGGCATCCACTCAGGACTGCATACGTTAACCAGTTTCATTGGCTACCCTGCATTGCAGGTGTCTTGGCGATTTATGAGGATGCCAACCACAAGCCCCGAATCAACATCTTTGTGCATGCTATGTCCAATGCCGTCTCCCAAGCCAAAAAGAATTAAGGACGGATCAAAATCCTCCGCGTAGGATCAGGTGCAGCGCGGCCCATGTCCGAGCGCGGCGCAGCATGGAATGTCAGAGTCCCAGTAATCAATCACGAGGTGGCCTGTACAGCGCAATGAATACTACAGTGCAATCAATACCTCTGAAACTGCAGCAAATGGAATTATGCACTTTCCAACTGGTGGTCCAATTTACGTCCGAGGTTATTCCTGCAAGCCTTGCCAGCTAATGCATTTATTGCGCACATGTTGCAGCACTGCCGGCATGGGAAGAAACGGCCTTGGAACCAGACGCGCACACTATCATCAGCCTTCAAGCATGAACCGACTCAGAATGGCGTCAGGCAGGTTCTACAAATTGTCAGTAAAGTCAAGCTACAGGAACAAGTCTGAAGACCCCTTTGGAGTTGATGCGTGGCTTGGAGCTGGGGAGAGTCCAGCTTGAGCCGCAGTTCATGCCACTGTCTCAAGAGAGGGAGAGCGAGAGAGACGGAGAGAGATTGAGCAGAGCACTCGCAATGGAATCGTCACTCTGGATGCAGGCCATGAAAGTTGCTCCAGCCCACACCCATGTAGATTCAAATCTTGAAGGATTGAGATTGGTCTGAGAAACATCTGATACCATGCCCCTGCCTTGACGTAAATGGTATACTCATCCGAAGAAGGGCCCAAAAGGAAACCCACCCACCTTTCCAGGGCAGGCTGGTCAATCAAGGGTCCCCTTGCAAAGCACTGGCAATGTTTCGATAAGGACTCTAGAAGCTAGCGCTCAGCTGGGCGGACTTGCTGGATCTTTGGGCATCCTAATTCCTACTTGACTGGTCCATCCATGATAATGAGCAACCTGATGGAATCTGATGGACAAGTAATGGCAATAATAGCAATAGTCAACATAGTAATAGTAATCATAATAATAACAGCAACAAACATTCTGCGAGATTGGCATCTGCTGTTGCAGGATGTTCCAGGCCTGGCGGTGATGTGATCGCCAGCCAGGGCAGAGACCTCGTCATGGCCCCACCTCAGCCACATTTGTGCTATGGTCTGAACTCCTTAAAGGGGGTTATAGGGGATTATGCAGGGGACTACTATAGGAATTGTTAAGGGAGATCCAAGGAGTTCAGACTTAAGCTCATATCAGCAGGCAGCAAGCTGGCTGTAGGCAACAGCATGAAATTTGACAACGGGGTGCAGCTTCCGCATAGGAGGCTTGGTTGGAGGTGCTATCGTTGTGTGCCGGCCATGTGGCTTTTCCAAAACAAGTCTAGAAACTGTGGCCCAAGCTCTACCAGGCTCTGAAATGTGTAAAATGCAGGACTCCGCGGTGCGTTTGTTTGGAGAATCCCCTGAACTTATCATTGAACTTTGGCAAGTCACATTGAACACCTCCCAAGTTTGAGCAGCATCTGTTTTGAGCTGGGCTTGAGATGTCTGTAGGGACAGGTTTGCTACCTGAAAGCATGCCATCACCTTCAGCTAGAGCATTTCAGCAAAAGCAAAAGTAACCATCAAGCCAGGCTGCTCGAAGCTGATCGTCTCATCAACTTTGGAAATGACGGGCCTCACCATCTAAGCACTGTGAAGGGACATCTTGCTAGATGTCCTGTTAAGCTGCCGAGGCGTCGCTTGTTTAGTCACAACTACCAACCTTACAACTCCAGCTGTGAGACGCAGGCAGTCCATAGAACCAGGCATTGTCCCAATACCTGGCATGGCTTCCCAAATGGCGGGATGCTTCCTGCTTGTCACAGGACCGCATGAATTGCCAAGGCAGGCTCAAACACGTCGGCATTGCTGGCCCCACAGACCTGCCCACAAGCTGCTTGCACATCAAAAGAAGACAAAGTGCGCTCATCTGCGTGAATCTCATGCAAGATTATTCAAGCGTTGTACTGGCTTGTCCAGCCAGCTTAGTTCATAGTCGGGATGATGCATGAGGCAGGCCCGACAGAGTGCGGTGGCCCTGGCAAACGTGAGTGTTATGGCTGAGCCGCTCACCGTTCGGGAAAATCGCGTAAACCATCAAAGAGTAGATGCCAGTCTTGTTTCCGGTGTAGTTCAGACCTGTCCGTATTCAGCAAGGCCCATGCGTGATGCCGAAAATTCATGGACCGTGAGCCGAGTCTTGGGAACCTATACCTACAAACAGTGTGAAGAACTTATAGCAACCCCCAGGTAGCTTGTCAGAAAAGTCAGGAACACAAAAAATCTTCGAAAGCCCAGTAGAAACTCCTTGAGGATACCTTCAGGAACGGCAAGCCCACAAGAAAACACTCGAAAGCTCTCGAGGAGCCTGGACTAAGCCCAGAGAAACTCGACAAAAAACTCAGAAACCCGTTAGAACCCTTGCGAAACCCTGGAAAATCTTGCAAAACCCGGAGGAATTTCATGCAAACCCACCAGTCGGTGCAAAAAAGGGCCCATGAGAAGAGTTGCATCATCACTCTTGACGAGGCTCTCATCGCTGTTAGCTGTGGTTCGAATCCCATTCTGCTTCTACGAAAAACCTATGCAAATGGATGCAAATGGCTCATCTTTGTCATCCGACGATTTTGCGAATACATTGTTGCCATTCAGATCTGCCGACAGCCAGGAATTCACTTTCAGAAGTAAGGATCTTCTACTGATAGTCATCCCGCACACGACCATCTGTTGTTCTCTGCAGAAGCTTGTTTCTATCTCTCTCTCACGGATATAATAGCTTGCTTGACAATTTTCTTTCTCACAAGACAACCATTACTCTTTCAACCATAGGCATTCAGCAGAAAGCCAAGCCAAATGCCGGCATGGCGAATATCTGCGCACAATAGAGCTTAGAAATGGGAACATTCCAGCGTTCGCACTCCACAAACCCCCATGACGGCATTGATAGGCTTCACACCTTCTGAGGCTCTTGAAGTCTTCTGACGGCCTCTTAGCGCCTGTGAACCCTTGAGGCCTTAACAATCTACAACTACTGGAAAATCGCGCAATGCACACCAAATCGTGCTCTGGAATGGAGCATCCTTGAAATTGTGGCCCACAATTTGCCGAGCGTCTCCCAACTTGAGCTCTTTTGCACGGAGCATTTCGTGCTTTCGTATGGAGCATCCTTTAAATGTCGAACATTATGGTCGCTCTTGGAGCATTTGCTTGTACGCAGAGTGTCCTGAAGATGTTCAAAATCACGGTTGTACTGCGGCTAATGATGCATGTTTTATGTAGCATTCGCACAAGGATTTATGGCGTGTAGCTGTTTAATGCTGATGTTGCTACAGCTTACAATGCCTGACAATGCCAACAACGCGAACGTCACAATACCATCTGAGTCGCTGGCTGTAAGTGCCATCGCCGTTTGCAACGGTGGCATAGCAGCAGTCAGGAACCCTCGGGCTCCAAGGTAGAGACTCAAGGTTGAGGAGTGCGTTCGACGTGCAGGGAAAGCTCATCAAAGCAGTCTGCAAATTACAGGCATTGGGCACCAGATGGAAAACTGTGCAAATAAGATCCGCTCTGCTTCAAACGCTGGCGATGATCCTGCATGCTGGTAATGCGCAGCAGTAGTGCAAGGAAAGAATGCCAGCCCACCACTCAGTGACAATGCTCAACCACATCCGGCCAAAGAGTGCCTGGTAGTCCGGGTGCTTCTCTGGGACAGGGAGGCACATTGTTCGCTGCGCGTTCAGCTCACAAGCCTCGCATAAGGCAGGAAGATGCAAGACCAGGGACATGCAACAGCACAAACCTTGCACCAAAACTTGGAAGCTTGGGACAGAAGCTGCCAAGTCAATAATCTAAGCTGACTCTCTCTTGCAGGACAGGAGGGGCACCGAGCCGCAGGCATCGTGCATTGCAGCCAAGTAATTCCGGTGAGTGCTGCCAACCTGCAGGGCCAACATGGCCAGCAGTCCACTTACATTTCAAGCGGTGACAGTCGTTTGGCTGCCCACATCGTCCTACAAAGAAGAGCTGCCTAGCACGCTGCTGCATCCAGCCTCGAACCACTCCGTGACAGGGTTCTTCGCCCGGATTGTGAGGTCAGTCCTAAGACAGATTCCAGTTCTGGACGGCTGGGGTTTATTTCTCACGTCTAGTTCCAAGGAGGAGCGCAGAAGTCCTTGCCAGTAAACCAACTTTCGCTGTATGCTTCTACGCCCTGTCTCTCAAATGCACTCGCTGCAACCACTTCTAACCACCAGCTGAAACTGACCTCTCGGGTCCAGACGGGATGTCAGCAATGACGAATTCCGGAATTGGATCTCGTGCAATTGATGGGTCGGTCGAGAGTGGGTAGAAAAAGGTTCTCCTTAGGCGAGAAGGGGACGTGCAGGCAATCCATTTGCAGAAGCCTGAGCTGTGCGTAAGTCGCAGGCTCGAGGGGGATGGCCACCGTGTAGGCCTCAGCTTAGTGGCGCTGGGGCCTGGCAACATACTGCCAAAGGCTGGAGACGGTTTGGTCTCGGAAGCTGGCGGTTGAAATGGGCTTGCTGCGCCCAATGGCATTGATTGCGTACCTTAAACGACCACTCCCGTCCACGCAACACGTAGCTCTCATTTTCTAGCCTAAGCCACGTCAGACACGCCTGTCAAAGCAAAACACACCCATCCTTCAAGGTCTGTCTGAGGGAGCTGCACATTGTAGAAGTAGGTTGTGCCGTAGGTCAGATTTTGTAGCACCAAACTGGCACGGCAGTGAATGCATAGAGAATGGGCTGTACTAAGGAGGAGGGAACGGGGTTGATGTCTTCGGGGCTTGACATGGCAGAGACAAGTACAGTAATTAGTTCAGCGTCAGCAGCTTGCAAGCTCCTGATTGGCAAGGGAGATCAAGCTGCACAAACAAACATCACAAGAAGGCAGCGGCAAACTGGGATTCAAGCTGCTTGACGCTAGGATCTTGCTGTCCGTCATAGATGATCTGCCAGCCCGGCTGCTTGTCTGTTTCCTGGCGATGTACATAGCAACCATCACAGAACATGAAATGGCAATGTGCGCTCAGCCATGTGCTCAACCGACAACTTGACATAGGCCCACTTTTGCAACTATCGCATCTGATCTTTGGTTGGGAGCGTCAGTGATGACCCGTCGTTCTCTGTAGCAATCCTCCGCATTTCTCTTTGAAAACGAATCCAAGAATCACAACAAACACCTTCCTTCCCTCCTTATACCCAAGAAGCGCTCCCTCACACACACAAACCCACTTGCTGCAATACCACTTTGCACAGGGGCATAGCCTGTAGATCCGAAGTGTTACTGCATGGGCAAACACTTCAAATCGACGTGTGTCGAAGATCCTCGCATCGGAAGCTTAAATGCTCTTAGAAGCCGCCGTCAGCCTCGGTTCCCACTTTTCCTCATCAGCATCTCGCATCTCGCGCCACTTGTTTCTTCAACCAAACGAGTTCCAGATCCAAGACAGCAATGTGATTTAGGTTGACGGCAGGACCGGGAGAACGGCGAGAAACAATCGAAACACAACTTGACCACAGGCTGTTTAGCACGGACAGGTGCAAGCAGCCCAATGCTGCCCTCAACAGCCGAGGAGTCCCAGTTCAGAACCTTGGTTGGGCAAATGGGATGGCCGATGCGCCATTTGTGCGCAGACCTCATGGCCAATGTGGCGGCTGCCGTGCCCTCTACGAGCATACCTACCATGCCATAAAGGGATCGCAAAGAGATGATCAAGTTGCGTAGACGTGGATGGCGTTGGAGGCAGCCACGGTCTTCCATTTTGCTTTCAGCAGTTCCGCGAACATTGGCGACTTGAGAACTCCCATTGATGTTGCACGGCTGGACCCGCCACATTTGACATGGCCCATGGCAACCAGTTTGAACAGGAACTCATCCTGTCCACAGTGATTGAGATTTAAGGGATAAGCAGCAGAAACTTGTGCCAGGATTTGGGGCGGTTATAGGGGGAAGGCTAACTGGCAAATCCTAATCCCTCAACCGTAAACCATCGTAAACCCTAAACCAGGCAGGTCTCGCCATCTCCACCTGGTAGCCCAGGATGGCGCTGCCACCGGTATTCGGCTCCTTGCAGAGAACACAACTCTGGGATGATATGAGAGCTATAGACTATATAGGGGAGTGTTATAGGGTTTGGGGTTTAGGGTTCAAATGGGGGAGTATTATTGGGTTATAAGGGGAATAGTCTAAACTCCTAGTGTCCCCCTATAGACCCGTCTACAATCCCCCAAATAACCCCCTTTAAGGAGTTTAGACTACAGCGTCTGCGAGGAATCAGAGGATACATGGGAAATACAATGGAGGAATGTAGCCAAGTACATGGGGATCATTCCGGGATTTCAGGGGGATCGATGTGGGTCGAAACATGTCGAAACTAGAATTCACATTTGGGATCTGTACACTGTGATGCTGATTTTTTGAGCTATCGATTCCCCTGTAGCTTCAGACATGACATAATTGACATAGCACCTCCCAGGAAAGGCGCATCACGATGGACCCCAGTGACGTTGTCTCCGGAATCGCCTGGCATTCGCGTCACAAGACAGTCAATGCAGGGGCCTGAATAAATGTCCTGTGTTTGTGCGAGGATTGAAAGAGGAAGAATCTTGAAATTCTCCAGGGATGTGCATGCTGAGATCGCTTTGAGGGGCTGACCAGCTGCCAATCTGGAAGGCCAGCGGTGACAAAGGTAATTGGATGACTCCCTCGGCATCCATGTCTGTGAGCGGGCAGGCTGGAGTTTATAGAAGCATTGCTGGGGTGCTCACGAGGCCCATGAAATTCGAACACCTGGCCCGTGACGCCGTCCCTGCCAGCCAGGAATGCAGGAATCTTGGAAATATTCAGCCAAGCACTTCGGACGTGGTCATTGGCACGCGTGAAATAGAACAGTCATGCGATTGGGGCCCCAGCGTAACCCTCTGGACAGAGTGCATGGTGAAGGTGTAGCTTGCATCCACCTTCAAGCCTTAGCATCGAGGCTTTGCTGCATTGCCTGGCAAGCGTCGGCATCACTACCATGAGACAAAATGAGACAAAGCCACGTAGTGACTGGCCCATGAACTTGACCTACGGGCAGAGAGCTCTCATGTGCGGACCGGGCTGAGGCTTGCGCTGGCAAGCTTGACCAAGGTTACCTTGAGAGGGAGAGGAGTGAGCGCGAGGAGAGCGAGAACAAGAGAGACAGAGGTATGATGCTCTGCCACCCTCGCCCCATGGCGGCAGCAGTTCCACACGGAAGTAAACACTACGTGTGCAACATGCCAACGCATAATAGTTGAAGAGCCACACATGCCGAGGCTGTCACACACGGGCCTTTAAAGCAGGAAATGGAGGGCTCCGTCTCATCCGCATCATTACGGAAGACCTGACTTGGGCTTTGAACAGTGATCTGGACTCAGTGTGACCAAGCATGGTCAAACATAGACATGATCTAGCAAGGTGCAGCAACCGGGTCAAACCCCGTCATTCCAGTCGCACCTCACACTCAGCCTGCAGATCCACTGTCTCCAGAACCTCAACAAATCTCAACAAAGAATCTTGTGCATCCTCCGCTGCTCTGATTAGGGATCTGAAGCCAACAGTTTGCGACCATGCGTCTTGAAACAATTCACACCGCATGGCTCAATCATCTCAATGTGACAAGTTATTTGCATGTTGAAGCTTGAAGGGCTTCTGACAGGGTGACCAGTCGTGTACACATATCTGAGATGCCAGCAAGTTCCAGTTCCAAATACCCTTGACAGAGTGCGCATGAACACTGACCATGCCGCAGTATGAGTTAGCTTGCCGGACTTCTTGAAGGGATCTCCTTATGATTGTTGCGACTTGGCGATTTGGCATGTGACTCCTGCCTGCTGATGAAGTCACACGCGCAGGGGGCTTTGCCTGCAGCATATTCAGAGCAGTCGCTCGACTTGAAGTGGACTTGCCGAAGCCCAGGACAACCGGGACCAAAGACCTGCGGGATATTAGGGATCGCCACGCTGTCTGGCACAGGGTTGCCGAGGGCATCGACCTTATTGCAGGCAATGTTGACACGAACAAATGAGATGCCAAAAGCTCCACAATCTCCACAGTGGCATACAAAGACCATGTTACTGTTGCAGAAGAAGAGATGCAGCAAGCTTGGTCTAGCTACGTGATTGTTCAACCGAGATCCACGCAGGAGATGCTGCCCGCCGCTGGACGGCACTTGCAGGTGCCTGGCGGCGTGGTCTTGAGGATGCAACGAACCAAAATCTGCCCTATCAACCAAATCGAAGCAGGTGCGCCTGAACCAGGGATGGCGGCTCCTCAAACTGTCCCCCTGCCTCATGCTTGATACGCCCACACGCAAAAGGAGTGATGAAGGAAAGTAGGCAAAGTAGGCACCTGCAGCAGAAGCCACCAAAGCAGGAGCCCCGCGCAACGCATGGAGCGTGGCGCGGCCTCATTCGAAGAAACAGCTGCTACAGCCCAGGAATGTCTGGTGTCTGGCTACTTAGAATCTGAGATCTTGGCGGCTCTGGGCTCATAAGGGCGGTCCCATCATGATGTTTGATCGTAATGGCTCAGACTGCCATCACAGATGCGCACCGAAGATCCAAATCAATGTGTCGAGGCACAGGGAGCATGCGCAGAACCCTGGGCAGTGGAGATTACATGATGGGTCAGACTTTACGATGTGCTCCTCATCTGCACAGAACTTCCAGAAACTGAACCTTTCAAAGCTAGGGCAAGACTCCCACAATCGAAGGTTCCTCATGGCATCGCATGGCGAGGCTCAGCTTTTTGGACTGGCAGTTTGCACAAACCGTACGGGTCTAGTCAGCTATGGCACGCGCGCCAGCTCTCATGGAGCTTGGCTCAACTTTGCAGATTGCTCTTGAGGAAGCCTTCTAGTCTACATCGCTTGTTGTAACATCTTCACAATCTGCCTTAAGTTGATCAGCCCGACAAGAACTCGACGTCACATGGCATCTTGCTCAGAGCGCGTGCGACTGGAAAATTAAGCAGCTCCTTCAGTTCACGCCCTTCGCGGGAAGTCTACAGTTTGCAGAAGAACGTGTAGAGTTGGCGACCTGCTGTTCCCAACAACGAAGGCAAGGGACGTCAGTCAAGTTGGAAGACGTGGAAATCTTAGACATTCTAAGACCTCTTGCCACACGGTCCAGGAACCTGACAGCCCGTGCCTCAAAGCTTCGAGGCTGGCGCGTTGTCCGCGGCCAGCCCGCCGCCAGAGAGCTCCTTCAGATCCTCAAACAAAGGCACCAATTGCATCAATTTGCAACAGTACACAAATACACGATTACATACTGAGGGGGCAAGGCCACAAGACTCTCATGCGCAGCGAGT